TTATCCTGAAGAAAAGCAATTCTCTCTGATAAGAATAGAATTGCATGACATAACTCCTTAACTTAAAAAATTCTAACAACTTTTGCAGCTTAGAATCTGAGCCTTAGCAAAGTTTTGAAATTAGGATGAGTTTTAAACAGATGAATACATTACTTCATCCTTTTGTATAATCTAGAATGGTTTCAAACACCTGGGAATATCAAAGTTGAATCGGAAATCTTCTGGAAACTCTTCAAACTTAAAGTTGTCTTCTATGTGCTATCTCTTTAAAAACATTTCAAAACTCAGCTAGGGAAATTATTCTCTTCAAATATTCCTCTTATTTGATCAAATTTGAAAATTTGTGTTTTGTTCAAAAATTATCTCTTTCCTTCAGATTTTAAAAATGTTTCTTTATAGAAGGGTTCTAAGTTCATATATAAAAACAAGTTAAATCTGAAGTATATTCATGTTTTCCCCTGCATTTTACTGGCTCTTCATCCACTCATAATGTATACTTTCCTTACCTAAAAAAGAGCCCCTAGAAGCATTTCCCTTAAACTCTGAAGGACTTAGATACAATGTTTTTTGCATTCTTTTCTAGTGAAATATTTTCCCCATCTGCAGTGTGGGATTAAGAAAAATTACTTAAAAAACAACAAGCAAAAAATGGTGCCGAGGCTGTGGTGCAGCAGGTTAAAGCCCTGGCCTGAACTTCTGGCATCCCATAAGGGTGCCAGTTCTAGTCCTGGCTACTCCTCTTCCAATTGAGCTCTCTGCTATGGCCAGGGAAAGCAGTGGAGGATGGCCCAAGTCCCAGAGGAAGCTCCTGGCTCCTGACTTCAGATCGGTGAAACTCCAGCCGTTGCGGCCATCTGGGGAGTGAACCAGCAGACAGAAGACCTTTCTCTCTCTCTGTCTCTACCTCTTTCTGAAACTCTGTCTTTCAAATAAATAAAATAAATCTTAAAAAAAATTAGAGATTTGCTACAGTTTGGAGGATATGTACTATAAACTATCTGCAGTCACTATATTGGTATAGAGATAGTAGACACACAATGGAAACTTTTAAGCATTTATTTGGGACAGTAGAATCCACTTTGCCAGACACTTGCAGGAAAAGGAAGAAAAATCAAATATTGGAAGGGGATCATTTTAAAAAAAATCAAATATATACACTTCACTGTCCATTTTGATAGTAATTATTGACACTTTTTTTTTAAAAAAGAAAGAAAAATAACTATGAGATGGTAGTTTTTATAATATAAAGAAGTCATCTTTATTTCACTTTGTACTATGGAAAAAAATCCTAAGTTTAAAAGACTTATCTTTGAATAGTGATTTTGTATTGCCTGTTGCCATTTTTCAAAGAATCATATTATGTCAATGATGACATTATGTAGTCAATGATGCCAATATGATTGAAGTTACTCTGCTTTTATGTTTTATAGGAACCTCAGCGAACCTGCAGTTATCAAGAGGATAACAGCAGTAAAAAATATTACTTTCAGCCAAACTGTGTTATTAAACAAACAGCAACAACTATTTCAGAATGTTTGATTTGAAAGAAATCCTTAGGGTATCACTGAATTTTAAAATCCTAATGTTGATTTGCTAATTAATCGACATTCCGTGATTAATGACTTATTAAAGTAGGGCCAGTAATGTTAAATGCATTTTTTTATTTCAAATGATTTTTGAAAACTGTAACTCAGCTCTGATTCTTTTATTAGCTTAGTATTTGAAGACAAAGGCAGAAAGTGGGTTATTAAGTCCTCATGTAAACAGATACTTGTGCAAATTAACATGAAAATGCATATAAAAGTGGACTAAAATTCTTCTAGAGCACAAGATACAGATTATCTTAAATGCCTCTGTGCATTAAAGGAGAAGGAGACATTCTACCTGAGAAAGATGTGAATAGATTATGAGAATTTTAGTTTCTGCTATTATTTGGTATTCTCGTTTAGGTGTTTCCCAAAGGCCTATTTGTGTTTAGAAGCTTGGTCTCTGGTCTTGTGTTAATGGATAATTCATTAATGTTAATAGTGAAAGGACTAAAGGTGGAAATGTAATCAAATTATGGTGTCTCAAGGTAGGGCCTTCAGGCAGTGATTGGAATGGATCAGGGTACTTGGGTGGGCTCCTTTCATCAAGTCATGATGCCTTTATAAGTGTGCTTCCCATTCCTCTCTCCTTCCTGGCTCAGCTCTTGTTCCACTACCCATGGTCCTCATCAGACACAAGAACAATTGAGTCACTCAATCTTGGATGTGAACCTCCAAAACTATGAGCTGAAATAAGTCTTTCTCCATAACCAGTTGTAGTAACAAACAGCTGAATAACATAGTTTCTAAATGAATGTAATCACCAACTGGCAAATGTCATTTGCTTGGGATAAACCTTTACATTTTCTTCTGAAAAACTGAAAACACTAGAAATAGAGAATAGGAAAGTCCCTGGCCATTACCCCTAAAGTTTTATAATAACCAAAATAGTCAGATATACTTCACTGAAAGGAGAGAACAGATTGTCTAAAGATAGCCTATTGATTTACTTTTGGCATACGAATTTGCTGCCCCAGCTATAGAACAGAGAAGGAGAGAGGAGGAGGCAGATCGAGGCTAGTGGCAGTGGGGTGGGGGTAGGGGAGAGTGGAAGAGATGGGGAGGAAAGAGGAGAGGAAGACCAGAGAAGAGGAGAGTAGACAGGGGAGAGGGACGGATCTTGGAGAAGGGAAGGGGAGGGAGAAGACTGGGCAAAAGAAAAGGAGAGGAATAAAAGGGAGGCAGGGAGAGGAAGGAGGAGGAGACTTCAAAGGGAGGCCCAGAATGCAGGGAGGAAGAGGAGAGCAGAGATCATGTGAGTGAGTGTGTTCTAATTTCTGAGTACTTGCTCTCCACATCTGCTGATCCCACATGCCTGAGTTCAACCTCAGACAAACTACTTAAATATATATTTGTATCTGAACACGTTCAGAGTATTTTTCTTCACATTATTTCCAGAACAAAATAGCTTAACAGCTATTTATATAACATTTACATTGTGGTATGTTACATAAGTAATATAGATATAATTTATGCTACATGGGATGCACACAGATTACATGAAAAGCACTACACCATGTTACATAGGGGACTTGAGCATCTTCAGATTTTGTATCCCTGGGGAGTCCTGGAATCCAGTTTTCATGGATGATGAGGGGAACCTGTACTTTCCCCTACTCATACGCAGAGGATTCTGTGTCCCTTGGTCTCAGAATAAGAACTGCTCAGCAAGAACCTCCTCACTTGGTGTTGAGAAAGCTTATGTTGTGTCACATGTGTTATCCTCAATGGGAAGGGAGGGAGTGCATGGGTGTGTTGTGGTGAGACAGGGAAAGGAGAGAGGCAGAAGGAGAAAAAGGAAGTGAATTGACACCACTGAGTACTCTGTGTCATGTCAATCATCAGGGGACTTCTCAGCACCCTGTGGCAAGAAGAAAGAGTCCCCAGAATGACCCAGATAAAATTTCCTCCAGACAACTGTGATGTGAGTGCCTAAGATGTTTTTTTTAATGTAATCTAAAGAGATTGTGAGATTTCATATATGCCCAAGTTTAACCTTGTAGCTTTTTAAATCAGTTCTTCCCCAACTTGCTGCCAAAGTTGAGATGTTTTTCACTCACTGTAAGACTATTCAGTTGTGGAACCTGAATTGGCCGCTAAACAGGAGTCCTGTTTTTAATTTCGTCATCTCTTTCTGTTTACTGAATGTCCAGCATTAGAGCGTCATCGTATGACCGATAGTGAAGCCTTGAATTTTTAGAAAAAGTTTGTTCAATGTGGTTCAGCAGGCACCCACTGACGTCTTTGAAATGCTAGGCACTAGCCTACTGTGGGCAATATGCCAGAAAACCTAGAGTAAAGTTCACAGTTTAAGAATTAGTTCTCTGAAGAACAGATTTTTCCTTATATCCCCAATCATCAGTTAAGAAAAAAAGATTTATTTATTTCAAAGGCAGAGCTACAGAGATAGCAAGATCTCCATCCACTGATTTACTCCTCAAATGGCCACAATGGCCAGGGCTGGGCTAGATCAAAGCCAAGAGACAGGAGCTTCATCTAGGCCTCCCATGTCGGTGAGGGGAATCCAAGTACTTGGGCCATTAGCTGGGAACTGGATTGGAAGTGGAGCAGCCATGACAGGAACAGAGCTGGTGCCTGTATGATGCTGGCATCTTAAGTGGTGGCTTAACCAGCAGTGTCACAACACTGGATCCCCTAATCATTGATTTTGATGGAAGGAACTAAATTCTTTGAAAAATTTAATGAATTCAATTGATATTTAGTTTGCTTGATTCATAGGGAGAATGAAATCACAGTCTGCCTCTCAGGGACATGTATTGTAGGAGAGATAACATGGAAATTAAGAGATAATTCTGGGGCCGGCGCAGTGGCTCACTAGGCTAATCCTCTGCCTGTGGCACTAGCACACCGGGTTTTAGTCCCGGTCGGGGTGCCGGATTCTGTCCTGGTTGCCCCTCTTCCAGGCCAGCTCTCTGCTGTGGCCAGGGAGTGCAGTGGAGGATGGCCCAAGTGCTTGGGCCCTGCACCCCATGGGAGACCAGGAGAAGCACCTGGCTCCTGCCATCGGATCAGCGCAGTGCGCCGGCCGCGGCGGCCATTGGAGGGTGAACCAACGGCATAGGAAGACCTTTCTCTCTGTCTCTCTCTCTCAATGTCCACTCTGCCTGTCAAAAAAAAAAAAAAAAAAAAAAGATTTTAGAAGAAGTGATATGAAAGCAAGACCTTGATATATTGCTCCCTAGTTTGATTTCTAAATGCATATCTATGAAACTCCTTGACTGGTTTCCAATTTTACCCTTTAAAGTTATTAATATGTGAATACTTTGCTTATTTGATAGGATTATTGTAATGATATGATTGATAAGATGAAATACATGTTCAGTTGTTCTGATGAATTTCTTGTAGGAGAATAAATTCATTTACTTTATACCCCTCAGAAACTGGAGAACAGTATTTGCTTTTTAAGATTTATTTATTTACTTGAAAGTCAGAGTTAGAGAAGGAGAGGAGGAGAGAGAGACAGGTCTTCCATCCTCTGGTTCACTCCCCAATTAGCCGCAATGGCTGGAGCTGTGCTGATCCCTAGTCAGGAGCCAGGAGCTTCTTCCGGGTCTCCCAAGTGGGTGCAGGGGCCCAAGGACTTGGGCTGTCTTCTGCTTTCCCAGGCCATAGCAGAGAGCTGGATCGGAACTGGAGCAGCCGGGACTCAAACCGGAGCCCATATGGGATGCCAGCACTGCAGGCAGCAGCTTCACCCACTATGACACAGTGCTGGTCCCAGGAGAGCAGTATTTTCGCCTGGTTAATTGAAAAAAAAAGAACATGTTATTTACTGATATCTATGTTGGCAGTATGGTTTTCCCCATTCATTGTTTTATTATCTCAAGAATCCAGTGAGGAAATTACTTTAATTTCTGTTCAAAACATAGAAGACAACCTCAGCAGGTCACTTAGTTGAGTGAGTTATCCAGAGTTATATAGTGAACACTTGATAGAGATAATTAAATAATACTTTACCCGTGTGGATTCAACAAGGCGTGCATGCAAATAAATCATTCAGTTATTCAGGACTAGTATCAATAGGTCTCTGGTTCTAATTCAGAAAGTCTTGCTTAGTTACTAAACCTGAAAGTCTACTCCTCCAAAGACCCAAGGTCAAGGATAGCATAAAGAGACCAAACAATTGAAACAATTCATAGAGTTAAAGGAATAATTTGTATTAATAAAGTTCCCCAGACTAGTTTATATTTGCATCTGCAAACCCTCTTTTTTCATTGATTGTCATGATCACACTGTCCAGATTTATAATGTAGGAGTTTTTAAAACACATGTATTAGGCAATAAAGTGTATTCTAGTAATAATAGCCCATTTTTATCTATTGTCCCAACACTTCACCTGTTAAATGTCATAAACTCTGACCTAAGATCAAAAACTCAGAATGCATGTGACAGTGGGATATGGCCCCGAAATCTAAGGGAACTATCTTAAGAGATAGGAAGAAACTTCCTCCATTCTTTATTCTAGAGCCTAAAGCAAAGAATAAATCACATCTGGAAATTAAGTTCCAAGGAAACAGATTAATCACACACTAACCATGTAAATATTTAAAAGGCAAGGAAGTGTTTACCTGAGTCTAAAGATCAGAATGCTCAGTGGAAGGAGTGCACAGGAGAGCCCCAAGAAGCAGTGAGCAGGAAGAATTTTGCTTAGATTTTTGCTGGTAACTGAAGTCTCACAATCAGATTAGACAGAGTGAGAGGAACTAAGGTTAGCTCACAAATTCCCCCCGGGGTGGAGTCAGAGCAGAAGCTCTTTGAATTGCTCTCCCTGAGATCTGAACTCGAAAGTTGCAAGGGATTTTTGAGAGTTGCTTGGAGAAGTTCTGGCAACCAAGGACACCGCTGGATCCCTAGCTGGTAAGCACTGAGCCACTGATAGATCCTCAGCACACAGATATACACTCTGATTTTCCCAAATGAAAATCCTCTCTTTTGAAATCCTGTTACTTTTAGAGACATCTCCTGCCAGTTCTTTATTCTATTTTTCCAAATCATTCTCATAAACAAAAATACCATGATTTCCCTGGACTCCTCCTTTAAAAATGTGCTAGATCGAGACATAATTACCCATGTAGTGAAGAACTGATGTCAGTAGTACATTACAGTTCGTCTGCTGAATATGGTTACATATGGCAGATTAAAGTTAATTCTGCCATTACTTGAGCCTAAATGGTAAGATTAGATAAAAATCTAGATGAGAATTATTTCTTTAAATAAACTTTAAATCTTCTATTTTCTGTTAACTTTGTCTCATACTGCAATTAGTCATATTTAGCATTCGTTTAGAGAAGTGAAAATGTCTATTATTTAAGCAGAGTGACTTCCCCTTTCAGTTTATGAAATATTTGCATAAGAATGGAAAGTTGACATACTTTTCTCTGTATAGTAAAATGGTTTATTTTTTTCTTTTGAGAAGGGCAGGATGTTATTTAGGTAATAACATTGAAACAAATGAAATGGTATTCTGAATTAGAAGCTCAACAAGTAATTCATATTCTGGATATGAAATATAAAGTTGTAATAATGTAATGTCACTCATTTTTGAAGATAGACTTAAAGTTCTGTGTACATATAATAAGTAGCATTTGCTCTTAATAAAAAAAACCACAAGCTTACTTTATATATAAATATGTTTTTAACCAGGCTCTAAACTTTGAACTCATAGGTACAATTTGCTTATTTCAGGCATGAAAACTCAAACTGTGTAAAGATTAACTATTGAGTACTCACAGTTAACTATTGAGTACTCACAGTCCTTTTTTTCTTTTAACTATTTAACTTTAGGCCAATGGGTAACTAGGAGATCCTGAATTCTCTGATTCCATGATAACAGTTTCTTTTATGAATCATAAAATTTTAGCATTAAAGTTTTCACTGCTTAAATAAAATTGTGAAGATACAATTCAGAAAATTTCAAAAGTTAAATTGACTGTAAAATATCAGTTTCTATAAATATAAATTTATTTGCAAATGGTAAACTTAAATAAGGCATAAAATTATGATTTGTGAAGCACTCACTAATTGTCTAGCCCATGTGGTGACTGAAGAATTAAGCAGTTATCAGTATGAGTTCATAACTTGCTTCTTTAGAGTGAGAACACTGGGGTGTCCTGGGAGCTAAGGCTGTATTAAGTCTTCAGGAGTTTCTAGCTGGTGAAAAGGAAGGATGTAGTGAACTCATTCTGGAAAGACTAGGCCCATTAAGTATCTCACTATAACCCATGTGGGACAGGCACAGAATTGGAATCAGCCACTTGAATCTTTCCTTGGCTGAGGCTGGATTGGGAAGGATTGTTTAAGAAGTAAAAGTAAATGGATTCATACATAGCCTGTGTTGCTTGGCAGACTGAGTGAATGTCTGAAAAAAAGATGCCACAGATAAAGAGAATGAGCTCAAGGAACATAAATTAAAAAAAAAAAAAAAAGAAGAATCAGGAAGAGATATGACAAAAAATAAAGTGAGGAGTTCACTTCTCTGAGCAGGATCTCTTGTGCATGTTCTACCCACATATCTTGCCAAAGAGTAGCATATTTGGCTCAATGTCAGGCAGCCTGCAAACCTAACTGCACTCTACTTCACTTCAACTCCATTTTTGCCATTGTTCTGTCCAGGATTTGGTATGGAAATGGGGGCAGGTGATTTTGACTCTCAGGATTGTTACAAGGGTTAAACAAAATACAGATACAAAGAAAGTAAATGAATTTTTTTAAATAGTAAAAGTTGATTTTTTTACTCAGATTTGGTGGCAGTAACCTAATCTGTGTATTTATTTACATAGTGCTGCATAAAGTTGTCCCCAATAAACTCTAAAAGGGCTTAGTCTCCAACATAAGTCCCAAATATAAGGTAAGCTCTCTTGATTCTGAGTTTCACTGAAAATGCTTCTGTAATCATTTTCTATGGAATCAGAATGAGAGAGACTGTCATTTTAACAGAAGGTCATTAATCATGTCAAATAATTCACAAAACTATTTTTTTTATGGTCTTGTTCAACTGTTGTTTTAGTAGAGCATTTTATCTAAAAGATACTGCTTGGTAAGGGAGTGATGTTAGCATAAATTTAACATGATTCATGTCCCCAGATAGAATATAGCTCAGAACTGTAGATAAACAACTGAATCAAGCTATTGTAAGTAATAAGTTTATGGTGAGGGCATGCTGTATATTGAGGCAGAAAAGCATTTCATGGAGTTTTAGCTACAGGCAAACAGATAGGCGTCCCCAAGCCTTGCGTGAGGCTTGCTGCTTGGAACAATCGAGGACCTCTCAAGATGGGGTTACCTTGTCATCTTTTCAGGAGCCATAGATGTTCAGTCTGCCACTATTATAGAGCTACATGAGTCTTCCTTGCTGTGGCATCAATTCATACTTTTCATGCCTAATCAATCAGTGGTTCTGCTTTGCTCTGAAAAATGAATCATTTGTGACGATATTCCTCCTAAATTTTAGCACTTCACAGCTTCTCCCTACTGTTCTTTTACATTCTTGTTCCTATTCTAACTGAATGAAGGCATATCTTACAGCTCAGATTCCTAAAAGAATTTGATTACATGCTCGGCTAAACATCATCATCACTGTTTGGTTAGCACTTTCATAGCAAGTCACTCACAGACCACTGACAAAATAGTGCCTTGTCTGTAGTAGGTCAAGCACCTGGCTCCTGCCTTCGGATCAGCACGGTGCGCCGGCCGCAGTGGCCATTGGAGGGTGAACCAACGGTAAAGGAAGACCTTTCTCTCTATCTCTCTTTCTCACTGTCCACTCTGCCTGTCAAAAAAATAATAAATAATTTTTTTAAAAAAGAGACATACTAGACATCCCTCCTCCACCAACGTAGCTCTTCTATACCTCAGTAAATCTACCCAAAACTTATGCTGTATTTCCTTATAGCTCTTGAAGCTACCTGAAACTTTATGTTATGTATTTTCCATTTTTCCACTACAAAGTAAATTGTGCAAGAATTAGCATTTATAGGCTACTGTTCCATGGCTGCCAGAAACCAAATAGTAACAGCTTAGCCAATATTTGCAGAAAGAGTAAATAAATGGAAGAATATGTTAATGAAGCCAGCAAAAGGACAGTACATAAATGAAACTAACCTGAGGAAAAATATTTTCCTTTAATATTATTCTTGCTCAATTTCATGAAACCAAAACTTGGGGGAAATACAAACAACAAAAAATCTGGTAAAGTCTAAAATGTGTTATTAAATCTCCATTGTCTTTTCCCCTTTTGTAAAGATTGTAAAGATTTTGTAAAGCATTCAGTGTGTCCAGCTTTAAAACTGTCATCCAGATACCACTGGGGGTGGGATTGTGGAAGTGGAATGGGAAAAATAAGCCAGGTGGTGCCCTGTTTTCCTTCACGTTCGCAGAAGCATCTTTACTGCTAGGAGACCTGGGAGAAAAGTGATGAAGATAGCTATGTCAGAAAACCAATAATGTGCTCATTGTTCTAGATAAGAACAAGTGCTAATGTTTACTGTGACCTCAGCATTAATTACTAGTTGTTATTTTAATATCGCTAGGTTATTATCACTTTGTTCATTTTCTGTATGAGGAAAACTCAGCATGGGGTTGAAAATTGGCTGACTAATTAGGTTATTTCTGAGGTTGAAGCAATGAGAATCTTACGTAAGACAGTCCAGTTTACAAAAGGCTGTTTTCCTTCAGGAAAATAATGCTGGCGACATGATGTTTTATTATCTTCTTTCATTTTTAGGTAACAACTTGCAATGGAGCCTTCTCCTCTCGAGCTGCCTGCTGACACGGTGCAACGCATTGCAGCTGCACTCCAATGTCACCCAACAGATGAGAGGGTCGCTCTCTACCTAGATGAGAAAGATGAGCTGAAGCACTTCAGGGACTATTTTTACATCCCCAAAATGAAAGATCTGCCTCCAAGTAAGATCCTGGGAAAGTTTTCTTTTGAAATCAATTTACCAATTAATTTGTTTTTGCAAAAGCATCTATTTATCATAGGTCATTGAAAAAGCATTGTTCTAATATATAATAGAGCTATAGAGCCTTTGCTGCAATTACATGAAAAAATTTAGGTCCCTGGTGTTACTGAATCAACCTGTCAGCCTACCTTAGCCTCAGATCTTTGTTTCTTCTCCCTTTCTGTATAAAATACTTTCTCGTGCTTAAACCCTCATCTTCTCTGAGCAACAGAGAAGGCTGATTGAAAATTATAGAGAGATGCATTTACTTGTTCTCTGAGCACTTAGGGCTCACAGCAACCCCTTTCAAAACAGTATTAGAAAGTCTCTTATTTTCTGGCACCTAGTTTATGATAGCATGATGTTTATCTTAGGGGAAATACTGTTTTGCAGCCTGTGGTGTTTTCTGAATAAAACCATCTTTGCATGGTGTGAATAAAGATGGTACATCCATGAATCACAAATAAATTACAGTAATACCTAACAAACACATTTAAAAAAAAACAATGCAGTAAACTTATTTTCTGTTGTAAGGAAGTCTTTTGTTCTCTCTCATAGATATCACAGGAATAAAAAACATGAAACAATGTGTTATTTTTAGTTTACTCCATTTCACATCAATGAAAAAGACTACTAATTTGAATGAAATTAGTCTACCAAAATTGGTTTCACATGCTTTATAGTAGCATAATTGGCTAAGTTCTTCATTTCTTCACATTAAAAGAGATAGGTGCAATTTTAGGTACTCAGAATTCAAGAATATCAACTTATAC